CGCCCAGCCGACTGAGAGTAATACTACTTCTCCCAGCCAAATATGACCACTCCTTTGAAAACTCCATCTCACTTACCTCATAAAAAGCTGACCAAAAGAACAAAGTAAACATTTCAGGATGAGTATTTTCACTGCTGTGTTGCCCTTGGGTGTCATATTCAAAACTGAAGTGCTGCACTGTTTATGCTATTATAATTACAAAAAACAGAAAAAAAGAAAGATTAGCTTGAAAAGGAAGCATAATGAGCTTCTTTCATCAATGCAGATATATATAGACCTTAATACAGATTTTGCATGTACATGCAAATTTACTGTAGGTCTTGGGAAATGTTCTTTTTGGCCACCTTGCGGGTATCAGTGCATCCAAATCGCTGTATACAATCTTCATACAGTCACACCCATATTTCTCTATAAATTAACATGAGGTATAGAGGAAAACTCAGTGGTGTTTTTCTAAGAAAGAAGCCTGTACAGTTCAAATAGACCGTATGTTGAAGGTTCATGGACAGAGTGAAAGGGGAGAGCCTTCTTACACCAATATGTAAGAAGGATGCCACAGGTAGGGACAGGAGCAAAACGTGTGAAATGCTGTGGAGGTTATGTCTTGGGGATGAATTTCAGCTTGAGGTTTTGGAGATCTTGTTAAAATTAAAGGATTTATGCACACAGGAAAGTACATATATTGATCTACCGTGCAATATCATCTGGAATGCACTTTTTTGACAACAGCTTCATTTTTCCAAATTACAATGATCCTAAATACACTACCAGTGTAGTAAAAAACATACCTGGATAAAAAAAGAAAACAATGGAACACCATCAGTCACGGACTGGGATCAACATTTCCCATTGTTATGGAAATATATGAAGAAATGAGGGACTGCTACAGCACTGCAGTTTAAAGATGTGCTAAAATATTCTAAGACAGCCTCCTTTATTTGTTCATAAAAACAGTCTGAGGAAGTTCTCAATGTGTTTGTAGACTACAAACAAATTCAGTACCTTCACGCACACCTTGTGAATGAGGTCCAGAGTTTCCATGTTACACCCCCTTGTGAATTACTGTCTCCTTTGTTGGCTGTTCTATTCTCATGTCCCGAGTGCATTCTCATAAGCAGCACCCCAGGGAGAAGAATTTGCTTAAAAATTCCAATAAGCACCTCTCACTTCATGCCTGACTGCCACAAGCTCAAACTTGCACTGATTACATCCTGTCACGTCTTCAGTGGGGGAGAAAAAAGTAATAGTTAAAAACCCCCAAAAACAAGGCGATATGATATTTTCCATCAGTGTACTGTCTAGGTACAACCAAGATAAGTGGGGCAACCTCAGTGGAGTGTAACAAAGAGCTCCCTATCAGATCCAAGCAGGTAAAAGCGGGATATCTTTCAGCTGGCTGTGCCATATCACATCTTTAACACTTGTGCATCTTACCAAAACAAAAGTGGTGTACTTTGCAGCAGATGATAGTGCCTGACAACATCTACAAATATCCCATTCATGTCCTCTCAGGCACGGCATATTTACCAACTGTTTTCTCCCCACCTGCAGGGGAGCCCACCTGTTGTGTTTACAGGACATCACAGATGTTTGTTTTTTTACCTTACCTCACACTGCAGACAATCATTATAAACAGACTTTACAACGGTGTTATAATGGTTAGGTCAAACTGCACACAATATCTTCCTCATGTGACAAACACGTATTCAAACAGTTTTATAGCCTCCCGAGCTAGTAAAGAAACTACAAAATGAAGAGGAAATAAGCCTACTGACTAGTAGTGACTAAACTTCTTCTGCTAAATATACGACAGACACAGAAAAGGCGGCGTTGCTTCTCTAAAAAAGACATTTGACTTACTATCAGTAGCTTATTAGCTCATTCACAAGCTCGGCTCTCGATTGAACTCGCTCATATTACAAGTAGTAACGCACATGTGTAGCAGCTGATCGATTAAGAGCAATATTGGAATAAGCTCTTATCTGGGCGTTAAACGTCCAGCTAATCGATAGCGCTAGCATTAGCTAACTGGTTAATAATAACCTTATCGAGCTGCCAAGCAGGAAATTAACATATTAAGAACTGGCTTCAAGTGTATTCACGACAGAGTACCGACCGGGTTACGTACCGTTAAAAAATGTGTTAACCGAAGAGAATAAAGCGTGTTTGGCTTCGTGGGAAATTAACGTGTTGGCTTAGCAGCTGTGTCTCAGTCCCAGACAGAAAGCACGTCATGACAACAGTCCGTACTCACACCGGTGACGACTGCGCCGGGTTTGTGAAAGGGTTTCCCAGCACTGGAGGCACACTGATAAGAGCTGCAGCGCCACCCAGCGGCACAACGACCAGATGCACTTCTGAAACATGTTCAGGGACATGGAGCAAGCATTGAAGCCAACTTTGGATTCCAGTATAACTTGCAACGAGTTACATAAACCTGGCCCAAAAGCAGTTGTTTTGATGGCAGCTGTTTTGATGGCATGATTTTTTTTAAAAATTATTGTTATTATTATGTTTAAATAAGGATTACATCTTAAATGTCCAGCACACCTGTTGTTGTCGCCTTCCTATCTGTCTGTTTCCCTCAGAGAGATCCTCCTTTCCCTCCTTTCAGTGCCACTTGCCAGCAGGCCTACCACTTCTACAGTATGTGTTGCACGTAGATTTCAGATTGCTCAGGAAAAATATGCTTTGTGATTCATCACCCCTCATGGGTGAGGGGGTTGAAACATGACATAGGAACAGACCAACCGACAGACATGACTGACTGGGGGAAAACACAAGGGGAAGAAAGCGAAGCCAGAAGTGAACAAGGGGCCAAGGTAACTTAAGAGGAGAACAAAAGGACTAGACAGGGGACAGAAGGAGACAAACAACAAGCACACATGAGACGGAGACACCAGGGAACACAGAAGAGAACAAATCAGGGAAGATGAGACAAAGGGGAATGCAAACAGGCACAGAAGCAAAGAAGGAGAAAAGATTACCAAAATGAAACAGGAAATCATCGATACTGAGACAAGGACATGGACAAACATGGGTATCAGGGACCAGGCAACCAAGAACATACAGGCACAGGTATAACCTTCACAAAATGGGTTTTATTATGCCCCCCAAAAGGCAAAATTATTACAAAAATTCTAAATGACAGAAACAAACTATTTTAAGAAGTAAGTGGGCCCATAAAAGAGGCCAACTAAAGCAAAATTCTACTAAAAACACTTAACAAAACACCATAACTCAGCAAACTGACCTCCCCAAATGAGAGACTACTCCTGTTATATATTAAGTGAATGAACCATGGTATACATCAAAGGTGGAAACCACAGAGACAATAGCTAAACATAATACAAGAAGAAAGCCCATTCCCCCCCTTGTGTGGTCACAACAGCTGGTGAAATCTATTTTATTGACCTCTGCATTTAAACCAGCTCCACCCTTAGCCTTCTCCTTTACTCAAACCAGGATGGTTTGAGTAAAGGAGCAGCAGCTAGGTAACTCAAAAAGAAGAGAAAATAATTAATACAACATATACGTGCAACATATAGTACAATAACAAACAATACAAAACAGATTATATGCTATTGCTTGCACTATGACCTGATGCTGTCATGTATTACAAACTACCCAATTTAAACCTTTCAGTTAATTTATGGACACTGAAGCTTTACAGTACAATGCAAAAAGAAGGGTAAACATAAATATTACCTGAGTATTTCAGTTGTGTGTTGGCATGCAGCCATCACAATGAGGATGACACTGAATGAACCTGGGAGACACAAGAATAAACCCTTAAGACTAAGGGTTCTTTGGTACT